GGGGGCGCGGGCCGCGGGCGCCTGACATCCGGGCTCGGGGCGCGTTCGCCCAGCCCGCCTCTCCCCCGAGCTCAGGACTTCCCCCCGGCGTCCCTGTCCTGTCGACGGCTCCCCTAGGAGCAGGGCGCGCCCCGCGTTTCCTGGGTGAGCCCCGTCCCCGCGGGCCGGCCAGGCCCACGGCAGTCTCCTCCGCTCACGGGGTCTGAAGCGGCTCTCTCCCTCCCACTCCGGGCGCAGAGCGCGAGCAGCTGCACGCTGAAGCAAGCGAGCGCTTCGCTGCCGGCTACATCCAGTGCATGCACGAGGTGCACACGTTCGTGTCCACGTGCCAGGCCATCGACGCCACCGTCGCTGCAGAGCTCTTGAACCACCTTCTCGAATCCATGCCACTGCGGGAGGGCAGCAGCTTCCGGGATCTGCTGGGGGATGCCCTGGCCGGGCCGCCTGGAGCCCCCGGGCGAAATAGCTGGCCCACGGGAGGGGCTCCGGGGTCCCCTCTGCCCAGCCCCCCAGGTCCTGGGGACGATCTGTGCTCTGACCTGGAGGAGGCTCCTGAGGCCGAACTGAGTCGGGCGCCTGCTGAGGGGCCAGACTTGGTGCCGGCGGCCCTGGGCAGCCTGACTACGGCCCGAATAGTTCAGAGTGTGTGGAGGCCTTGGTGACCAGTACCAGCCAGGGACCTACGGTGGTGGGCCCAGCCTTCCCATGCTCTACTCCCTCCTCCCTGGGGTTCAGATGTAGTGGGGTAGGGCTCTGGTGGTCTCCCAGGTCTGCTCTCACTCGTCCTTCAATGGGTGGCTTGCAGGGCAGCCCCTGATGAGCAGCCCAGTCAAGCCCCTAGCCCTGTCTCAAGTAACTTTTATGGACCCTACTGCTCTGGGGTGGGTGGAGGGAGGGAGCTACAGGCAGGAGAAAGTGCTGTAGAGCTACCAGAGCTCTGCCAGGTTCTCCTTCCCAGCCTTGTCAGACTCTGTGAGTCACACAGAGGTGACTTGAGTGGTGCTGAGCTGCTTCTTGGTGCTGGGCACTAGTGTCCCAGGTAGGGTCACTCAGACCCTGGCCGCCCTGGTTTCAACAGAAGTTTGAATGCGCTGCTTCAGCCAAGAGACTAGGGGGAGGCAGGTGCATTTTGCTGTACTGCCGGGAGCTGCCGGAAAGAAGGGAGGAGGCTCTCTGTACATCCTGGGTGTAGCACGCTTGAATTTGTGTATTCGGTTGCCATCAAATAAAGAATTTTGGAGTTAGATATCCTTGAAGTGTTACTGAATGATGTGTCATTAATGTGTCAGATGTGTAAGTGCTAAACTGGGCACATTTTTCTTGCATCTGACACTGGTGAATGTCTTTTATAATCTCTCACCCTCTGTCAGCACAGTGAGCAGTGTGATGGTGGTGTGGACACACAGCCCGTGGCTGGTCTCTGCAGTGGCCAGTGCTTCTGCCTCCCTGTTGCTGGGCAGGTCCTGAGAACTGCGTGCGTCCCAGAGAGGGATTCCATTGGCAGGGGGTTTGTCTCCAGGGTAACTAAGTGATAGGGAAATGGCCTGTCCCTGTACCACTCTTGTTCTTGAGCTTCCAGAGATAATAAAACCAATGCCTAATTGCTAGATTCTCTTGGAAGTGTCTTTTAAAGACCTGTTTTAGGATCTCTGAGCACGATGCACATGTCAGTCTGTTAGGTTGGCACTTTTCTTGACTGAAGAAGGAGACTCCCCCAGTGCTACCAACTTTAGAGACGAGAGATCCACCAGTTCATGGCTTGAAGTGAAAGTGCCATGGCCCCAGGTAGCTTGGACCTGAGGTCAAATTGGGCCCAGGAGGTCACAGCCCTCAGGGACAGGGGTGACAGGGTGGGCAGCTTAGGTGTAGGAGCCTGCCCCTCAGGCTGGGCCAGGCCTGCAGGTAGCATGCTGGTCAGTTGGCAGTAATCACTGCTACAGTTAGCCCAGCCCCCTCCTCCTGCTCCAGTATCCCAAAGCAGTTTGTTCTCACTTTGGGTTGGCAGTGCCCAGGCTGGGAAGTACGTGTGACAATTTAGGATGGACATCTGGGTCTCCTCTGGTTCTGTGCCTTTGCCTTAAGAACATCTTTCCCAACAGCCCCTTTACAAAAGTCCCCAAGCAGATCCTGGCCACCAGGGGTGTTTCAGAGTTTGGGGTGCACCTTGGCTCCCCTGGGATTCAATCATAGACTTCAGCTGCTGGACTATAATCAGATGCAGATTAATTTTAGCAACTGGGGTTGAGCTCTTGGGGACAGTGGGGAGGCAGGTACAAAAGAAATGGCTGAAGAAATGGAAAAGTATTCCTAAGATTATTTTAATTACCACATACAGACCAACTTAGAGTGTGTCCACAGGGACACTGATGGATAACAGGCCCTCCTGTAAGCCCCCCATCCTGTGTGGCTCCCAATAGCACCAGGAGGCCACTTGTGTTAGTCTATTTTGTGTTGCTATAACAAATACCTGAGACTCGGTAATTTATAAAGAACAGAGGTTCATTTGGCTTATGATTGTGGGACAGCTGCATGTGGCATGGGCTTCAGGCTGCTTGTACTCATGGCGAAAAGCGACAGGCAGCCAGGTACAAGCAGATCACATGGTGAGGGAAGCAAGAGAGAGGAAGTGCCAGGGTCTTTTAAACAACCAGCTCAGGCCGGCCTGGTGGCACACTGCTACAGTGCGCTGCTTGGGAGCGCAATGGCGCTCCTGCCGAGGGTTCGGATCCCACATACAGACCGGTTCCTGCTCACTGGCTGAGCGAGGTGCGGGCGCGATGCCGAGGGTTGCGATCCCGTTGTCGGTCCCGGCCTGGTACGGGCGCGACACTGAGGGTTGCGATCGTTGCCGGACACGAAAAAAGACAAAAAGGAAAAAATAAATAAATAAATAAAATAAATAAAAAATAAACAACCAGCTCTAGCAGGAGGGAACTAATAGAGCGAGAACTCACTCATTACTCCCCCACCCAGGGAGAGCATTAATCCATTCATGAGGGATCTGCCCCCATGATTCAAACAGCTTCCAACACTGCCACATTGGGGATCAGATTTCCACATGAGTTTTGGTGGGGACAACACATCTTAACTCTGTCACCACCGCTATGAACTCTGATGCTATTTGGGGGCATCAGCCAGAGACTGCTTTGAAGGAACAACTCTTTCACACCCACTCTCATCACACCTTCCCAGAGGCCCTGGAAGGGGACAAGGGGGCCAAGGATGAAAGGTGCAGGAGGCTGACCTGGGGAAAACGTGTCACTGAGACCAGGGCCTGCCCAAGGTCAGAAGCCACTAGCTCAGAACTGTGGCCCTGTGCCCCTCCAACCTACGAGTCAGCTTCACTGTAATCCTCAAGAGCACCCTCTTTTCTTTCTCAGAAGTGTGAGTGGCTCCCAGAGCAGCAACCGCTGTCAGCCTTGTCAGGGCGGGTGCTGCTGCTGCCTGTGTCGCAGCCAGGGACCACCAGCTTCTGACTCTTCCAGACGACTCTTTCGTACCACTTCCTCTCTCTGCAGTCCCCTAGGCTCCCTCACGGGCCTCGCTCTAAGTATTCTGTGGCCTTGCTTCATCCTTACTTGAGAATTGTCTCCTTCCCACCCCAAAACCTTGGCTCATCATATTAGTTTTCTGTGGCTGCCACAACAAATGACCACAAACTTGGTGGCTGAAAACGACGCATGCTTATTATCATGCAATTCCACAGGCTAGAAGTCTCACACAGGATTCACTGGGCTAAAACCAAGGTGCCCGCAGGCAAGGCTGTATGCCTTTCTGGAAACCTGAGGGTGATCCATGTCTTTTCCTTTGCAGTCTTCAGAGGCCATCCACATTCCTCGGCTAATGGCCCCTTCCTCCATCCTTAGAGCCAGAGACATGTTGCATCTCTCTGACTCTTCTTCCATCGTCACGTCGCCTTCTGACTCTCCTGCCGCCTTCTTCCTTCTACTTTTAAGGACCCTTGCAATTACATTGGGCCCACCTCGATAACCCAGGATCATCTCCCTATCTCAAGGTCTTTAAATTAATCCGTAATCACATTTGCAAAGTCTCTTTTGCCACATAAAATAACACATTCACAGGTCCTGGGAATTAGGGTGTGGACATGGGGGGAGGGGTGGTTATTGTTCTGCCTATCACACCCACCTGCACCTTGGCCCAGGCATTCTGCCTTCCATCGTATTGCAGCGTGGTGCCAGCTTCCCACATGAGCACTGGGTTCCCTCCCCTCCACCCAACTCTGCTCTCTCCACTGCATCATTAATTTCTCCTCCCTTCTGGATCATTCTCGTCAACCTACAAACAAGCCGTAATACCTCCATCAGGAAAAAAGGGAGATAACCCTTCCTGAACCCGATGTGCCTTGTTAGTCTCTGCCTCAGTTCTCTGCTCTAAAGCAAAATGCCTTGAAAGCACCATCTGCACTCACTGTGTACAATCAGGCTATTGTCTCCACCTCTTCACTAAACCTGTCCTGTCAAGATCTCCAGTGACATCCATGTTTCCCAGTCTAGTGGTCATATCTTCAGTTTCAATCTAATCTCTCTGGGCTGTCACTCTCTCCACCTGGAAACTCTTCTTTCAGCCTCCAGTGCACCACATTCCCGGACTGTCCTTTCTCACTGGACATCCTCAGTCTCTTTTACTCCATGCTCTCCTCTGCCAACCTCTAAATGTGGCCACGTGGCCCCAGGGCTCTGTCCTCAGCCCTTTCCTGTTACCCCCCCACCCAGTAACCCCATCTGGTCCATCCTGAGCCCTCGACTCCAAGCCTCTCTCCAGCCTGCTCGCCCCCCATATCCTCCTGTCTACTCAGTGATCCCAATGAAATGTCAGACGGGCATCGCAAATTTACCACCGCGAAGCAACTGATTCTTACCCCAAACGCACTGTCACTTCCCCAGGCGTCGCCGCTTCCTGACAACCCATTGATTAGGCAAAAAACCTAAGGTCACTCCCGACTTCCTTTTCCTGTCATCCCACTGCCGATCAGTCAAGCCCATGAGCCCTACTTCTAAATCTTTGTCTGTCGTCGTCTTCGCCACCGGCCGAGTCCCAGGTGCCCTCAGTTGTAAGCTGTCCTCCGCAGCAGGCCTCCGACCCCCGCCCCAGCCCACTCCCGAGCCCTGACCGCGCCTTCGAGGCTCCGACAGCTCAGCGCGGCCGCCGGCTCCTCCTGCCCGCCCTCCCTACCCTCTGCTCTGGGCTCGGGACCCGGCAAGTGACCGTGCGCCCCGCCCTTGAGCCCTTGGGAGATGGCCCGGAGCCGCCTGCCTTGGGGAACCCCGAGGGATCTGGGCAGGCGGGAGCTAGAGCTCCGAGGACCCCGGAGTGCCCTGCGGGCAGCGCCCTGCGCTCGGAGACGCTCGCACACTCTGGGAAGCTCTCGGAGACGCTCGGAGACGCCCGGAGGTGCTCAGAGGCATCCGGAGACGCCTGGAGACGCTCGGAGACGCTCGGAGACGCTCGGAGACGCCCGGAGACGATCGGAGACGCCCGGAGGTGCTCAGAGGCATCCGGAGGCGCTCGGAGACGCCCGGAGGTGCTCAGAGGCATCCGGAGGCGCTCGGAGACGCCCGGAGACGCTCGGAGACTCTTGGCGACTCTCGGAGGCTTGGGGGACACCGACAGCGCTCGGACACTCTCCAACGAGCCCAAGCCTTGGCCACGCCCCTGCCCAGTCCGGAGCCGCGGAGCCTCCTGGGAGATGTAGTTCCGCCCCGATTTCGTTCTTGTTGAGGCAGCCACAGGCGGGTCAGGACTGCGACTCCCAGAGGCCTCTTCGGCCCGGAGGCCACGCCCCCCGTGGCCGCGAGCCGCGAGCCCGGCACCCAGCCGTGCGGGAGGTGCTCGCGCCGGCCGTTCAGCGTCCCTGGTGCCGAGGGAGGAGGAGGTGAAGTGTCGGGCGCCCCGCAGCTCGGGCCCTCCGCCGCTCCAGCCGCGCGTTCTACGCGTGAGGAAGCGAGGGCGAGAGCGGTGCCCCGGCCCGGGCGGTCGTCTGTGGGGGCTGCAGCCGGGGCCACCGGAGCGGGCCCGGTCCTGGAGATCCGGGTCGTGGGCCGCGGGTCCAGGCGGCCTGGGCTTCGGGGGCATTAAGGGAGCCCCAGGGTTTTCAGGTGCAGCCAAAGTCAGCGACTAAGATCGAGGAAAGAGGGGGTCGGAACGGAAGGAGGGAAAACTTAGATTTGCCGACCGTGCCGTGCCGGAGACCAAGCCTCGGC